GTTGTCTTAGGAAACCTTTCTGCTGCAAATGAAACATTTCAGCTGCAGTTTGAGGGGGGTGAAGACTGCAGGCTGTTTTCTTTCGTCCTACCACACCTTTCAGTCACTAGAGTCCTTAATCACCTTATAGCTCATGTCACCTCTGCCTATCTTCAAAATGGTCACTGAGCTTTCTTGCACTCTGACAAATACTGTTTTCCCTGGGCAAAATTTTTGTACTCTTTAAGCCTCTTTGTAAAAAATGGAAGTGATACCTCCATTGCTTATGGCAGTATTGGTACTCCCCCTCTGCTGTAAAGCTAATCCATGTAATAGCTTCTTGCTTTGGAGTGATGCCAGTGGGGGATTACTCTGTTTTGCTGCCTTTCTAAACTCCTCTTGTGCTGAAATGTGGTCCTGGATTATTCCTGTGTAATCCCTATGATCAGCACAGCAGCAGACACATGCTGAATTGGAAGTACTGAGAAGAGACAGGGAAACACATTTTGATAGACCACATTGTGCTTGGCCTCTGCTCAAGGTTAGGCTACGTGCTGAAGATTGAAATACTAGTTTTTATACTCTGGACTAGTAATTCATGGAATATTCTGAGTTGGAAGAGACCCACAAGGATCATCAAGTCTGACTCTTAGATGAATGGCCCATACAAGGATCAAACCTACAACCTTGGTATTATTAGAGCCATGCTCTGCCAGCCAGACTCAGTGGCTATATTAACCTCTATATAACCCCCATATTTTCTTAATAGGGATTCAAGACCAGTTACGTGCTATTTATACTGGTCTTGTGAATCACTAGTGATCCTCATATCTAAGGCTTGCAATTTTTTTGGTTTTATACTCCAACTGCATAATCTGAGTATCCTAAATTTCTTAGTTTAGAGTGCGAGCTACACTGTTGTGTACACTCAGGAAACCGCATGGTAACCCCTCAGCACGTGTATGGTAGCATCTTCATCTCTTTCATGAGCACAGTCCTAAACACAAGCAGTTCTAGCCACAGCAAGACTGTGAGCTCTGCAGCTGACACCCAGCTATCTGTGTTGGATGATTTAATTTCTATGTTTTGTTGTCCTCTGCCTTAAAGACAGTGTGATATTTTTCCACTTTGTGATCCTAGTTATTCACAACAGATATGGTTGTATTGAGGAAGGTGGTGGAAGACCTTGATTCAAGACTGCAGACAGACTTTTTGAATATTCATCAGGATAGTGTTATAGCTCTCTGCCTCCTTGCGTCTTAGCAATGGTCTGTTCTCAGGGGATTTGTATTATGTTCTTACTGTGCTGTAGATTAGACTCATAGTTAGTGAATATCACCACAGTAGTTCCTAGCAACTACAATCTTTTCCTCTTTGGATTTTCTTTAGCAACAACCCCACAGCTCTTGGATCTCTCAGGTTCCTCAGACACTAATGTTCTAGATAAGAGGGATGTTATCTGGCGCTTGCATGATAGAATTTATTGTGGAGCTTTAATTTATTAGTACTTTACAAATGCTTATGAGAGCCTGAACATGTTATAAAATACAAGTATTATGCTGTCTACTAAGAAGAAAAAAAAAAATCTTAACGGCTAACAGCTCCCACATATGTCCTTACAAATGCATCCAGAATTGCAAGTAGCAGGAAAGCGTTTGTTTATCACAGAATGCCCTTGGTAGTCACTGCTGTGTGATGGACTCTCTTGTGTACAATATTGCTTCTGTTTAGTAGTCACTTCTCATTAAAATCTATTTTTTGTTTCCCTTTTTAGATGATATCTTCTCTAGCAGCCAAGTCAAGATACCTACTCCTAAAACCAGATCTTCCCAAGCAGCCTCAGAACCAAAATCTGAAAGCAAGATCCTGAGCACATTTGATGACCCGCTGAATGCCTTTGGAGACCAATAGTCAATGGGATGTGTTGCAGAGAAGCAGCCTTCCTTAGCCCTGTCCAGTACTAATACTCTGGATTCTCTAATTCAGTAAAACTGGAATGAGATGAACATGGATATTTAAATGAGATTACCCATTTGAAATGGTTAGTATTCTCTTGTGCTAATCTAATTCTGCTAAATTATATATTTTTTAAAAAATACAGTAACCTCCTGCTATCATGTTTCCATGGTGCTGAGATGAATACAGCCTGTGCAATACCTGCAATGAAGTAATCTATTATATAAAGTATAGTTTGTTTTATTGAACAGATCTATAGATAAAATAATTGATAAATAGTAAATTGAGTCTGTTAAACTTGATCTGTCTGCAGGTCTTACTTTCCTCTTTACTTCTTGCTTAGAACGTGTGCATCATGACTTGAAAGCTACCAAAACCATTCCCGTGCTTTGGGTCAGCTGCCACCTGCTGAGCTAGTGGGAGGGTAAGGCTGGGTTCAGTACCAGGTACAGCTTCTCTTATGGAGTGAAGCAGTTAAGAAATCTCAGAGCAGGACTTGACATGACCTCTCATGAGGTATTTAATTTAGGCAGCTAATGTGGGCTATAAAAATAACAACAGTTAATGCTTCTTTGCCAGGGACAGTGTGTTACAAATGAACACCGAGTGGTCCGTGAAGATAGCAGAAACCTAACAGTGTCTTCTGTTCAAGTTGTAGGCCATTAAATCAGATTTTTCACCTGCATGGAGCTGCCAGAATCTTGCAAAATAACAGTTTTCACAAAGTCCATCTGTACAGAGCACATTTGGTCACTTCTAGGCTGACAAGCCTACGCACATACTTCATGGAAAGACTCTTCTGGGCCCAAAGGCCTGCTTTCCCTTCTCCTCCATAACACAGTGTAAGCTGTATGCAGGAGGTTGCTGCTCTGGAATCCCTCCAGCTGTGGAATGTATTTGGTCTAACTTTGCTTTCTGTATTTTCTAGATTCCCTTCTGAAACAGATGCCATTAACCATACTTGATACCCAGTGGTAGACACTTGCTTTCCTGCATGCATACAAGCAGAGCAAATGCATACATGCAGGAGGATCAAATATTTATTTTATTGTACAATATTGACTGCCTGCAATTCTGATTAGATTCACTGCTTTTATGATAGTGGCTACTTTATCTCAGACTCTTAAGACTGTTCTGCTGCAAATTCAAAACATGTGCTCAGAGGACTTCTTTGAGATCAACTCCCACTTGCACTGCAGTCCTCATTCTGAGACATCTGCTTCAGTCTCTTGTTTCTCAAGTTGGATTTCCTTTATCAGGCACAGTAAATACTACAGCTGAAACATCTAGTGCTAATGAGGGTGAAGCAGAAGGAAAGGTTGGAAGGGATAAAGGAGAAACATGATGTATGATTTGCACCATAGGTGGGCCTAGCAATGATTCATGTTAAGTGGGGGGTGAGCTGAGAGTAGCAGCTTGAAAAAGAGTGTGGGGGTTATTTGCAAATGGGTGTCTGCAGTGAAAGCACTTGAACTTTATTTATAGGCATTACATTTACTGCATATGCCTCATACGTGATTTGGACTGCTTCTTTACTCCTTTCTTCTGTGCTTAGAAGGGCTTCAAGGATACGATGACAAAGAATACGATGGTGAATTCTTCTGTTTCTTTTCTGCATCTTTCTTCTTGGCCCTTCACATTAATAACTTCTATTAACATTTCAAGAGGGCTGTTCACAAGCTAAGAACCCTGAGGGCTAGAAGCTCTTGGAGTAGGAAAAGAAAAAAGCTCCTGCCTTAGTGTTTCTTAAATTTTCATGTGAAAGGTCAGCAGAGAAAAGCTGTTCATAGTGCAAGTTTCTATGATGTAGATCACAACCTTTCTTCCAACCTAGTTTTTCTAAACTGGTAGATGGAGAGCGTTTGTGCCTTTCCTCATGCCTCTTCACACATTAAAATGAGGTCTAGGGACTTCACTTCTGGGAGGGCTTGTTCTGAGAGGTGACTTTTTGAACTGGATTTTGGCTAGAGGGTTTGGTTTTGGATTGTGTTGTTTTTTTTGGTAATTTGGGGTTTTTTGGCATGTGGGTTTGCTTTTCAGGTTTGGTTTTTTGGGGTTCTGCAAATTCAACAAACCACAGCTGCATATTTCCCATAGAAGGGCAGAGCTTGAAGGCTCAGTATTACAGCATCCAGAAGCTCTGACAGGTTCCCATACCTGCTACATGTTTCTAAAAAGCCACAGTCTTAACTGGGCCTGAAACCCAACAGTGAGTCAGGCTAGGTCTTGTGTATTTTAAAATCTAAATGGAAAGTAAAGTGGTTAATGTAATTAGCACCTGCTAATAGGATAAGCTTGTTTTCTCTAGCCTGTGATCATCCACGGGCCTCGCTGCTTCTGGAGCTTGCCCTGGCCCACCTCACGCTGAAATGGGAGCACAGTTGAGCGCTGGCCTTCAGTGAAGGTGCCCCAGAGCAGTGGGGGGAATGTTCGTGTCCCGGCTGGGAACAGCGGGGCGGCTGCCCCTGCCGCCCGGGCCCAGCGCTGCGCTCCGGCACACCGGCAATGCCCGGGAGCCGCTCGGCCTGAGCGCAAAGGCCCTGCTGCTGACTCTGCGGGTCGGCCCTGAGCAAAGGCCGCCGCAGCCACCGTAGCCTTGACGGGCCCCGGCCGCGTCCCCGGCCCGCCGCACTCCGTGTCCCAGGAGGCTGCGCGGCCGCCGCCGCTATCACGTGTCCACCGGTAGCGCTGGGGGCGTTGCACAGACTCGGGGAGCGGTTTGGGGCGGAAGGGACCTGAAAGCCCATCCCGTTCGCCCCCGGCCCTGAGCAGGGACACCTCCCACCGGAGCGGGCTGCCCGAATCCCCATCAGCCCGGGCTTCAACACTGCCGCCGATGGGGAAGTGTATCCGGGTCCTTCCCTGCGCACGCGCTGCCGCCCCGCGCCTTAACGACCACAACAAGCGGCCCGGCGGGCGCCCGCCCCTGAGGCACCGCGAGCCCCGCCCCCTGGGGGCGCTGATTGGCCGAGGTTCGTGAGAGCGGCCGTCCCATTGGCCCGCGGGAGGAGCTGTCACAGGGCGGAGCAGCGCGGGGGCTGCCGGGCGGCTCCTCCCAGTCCTGCCCCCGGCGGCTCCGGCTGTGCTGCCCGTCCGTGCGTCCCGCCGGGCCCGGCCGGCTCCGGCAGCTGCGGCGGGCGGGGCGGCGCGGGGGGAGAGGAACCGTGTCTCCCCCCGAGCGGGCCCGGCGGTGGCAGGTGAGGTGAGACGCCACCTTCGCTCGGCGGGTTCCGGGCCCTCTGGAGCGCCGCTCCTGCGGGGACCCTGCGGCGGCAGAGCCGAGGGCGGCGGGGCAGGGGGGCCGTGCTCGAAGCGCCCCGGGCCCGGCCCCGCCGGCGAGGCGCGCGTCCCGGGAGGAAGCGGGGCCGGGGCAGTGGTGGCGGGGCCCGCGGCCAGCCCGGGGAGCGAGGCCGCCCCGAGGCGCGGCGGGGACGAGGCAGCTGCTCGGCGTCCTTTGTTCGCGGCGCTCCGCTCGGCTGCCGGGTCCGGCCCTGCTCCGCTGCGGCGATGGACGCCTCCAACTGCCTTCCCTGAGCCCGGAGCGGTCCCTGTTCTTACGCCTTTCTGGAGTTTTCCTCTAGCTGTGACACTGCGGAGGGCTCAGCTCTTGTCTGGAGGCATTGGGCGTCTGGTTGTCATGTCGCTTGTGGAAACAAAAATAACAAAGGTAGTAGGTTGCGTCTGGAATGCTGACTAGAATTAGAGCCCTAAAACTACAACGTTGGTAACATAATTTGAGGTTATCATGCCCTACCTAGGTAATAACTTCGTGTTTCTTAACAACCATTTTACACAAAGTGAATTTAAATTCTCTTTAGCAGTTGCGTTTAGATGTTGTCAGAACTATATTTGTTTGCTTTATAGGTGAAAAATCCTAAAGATGAACAGCAATGCACTACACGTGTCTTCAAAGCTGCCTTGGCTAGAAGTGGAATGTAGTTTCCTGACAGATCTTCTTACAAGGAAGTTGTAAATCCGTTCTAATGGCCAACAAGAAAGAGCCTCCTTTTTTTAATAGAGATAATATGGGACCATTTCACTACAAACTTCCTTTCTATGAAACTATGGAGCTCTTCATTGAAACGCTTACAGGAACCTGCTTTGAACTGCGAGTTTCCCCCTTTGAAACAGTTATTTCTGTGAAAGCTAAAATTCAAAGACTGGAAGGTACTATTCTCTCTTATTTCAGTGTAAACTTTATGACTTTAGAAGAAGTCCTGTTTTTAAAAGCATAATTGCTAAAATTAAACCAGAAAACTTAAATGTCATGTTTAGCAGTGTATATAAAAACTAGGTGCCTAGGTTTAATTGAAGTTGAGTTGTTTTTTCTGTTCTTTCTGTTTTCTATAAGTTCATGGCTTAGGCTTTGCTGCAGTTGGTATGTTTGCTCTTCTGGTGGGTTGGTTGGGGGTTTTTTCCTATGTCCAGTTATTAAGGTTAATTGTAAAAAGTCTCTGGATTCTCTGACCCAAGTTGTTTGTTAACTAGCAAGATTATAAATTTGAGCCATGCAATATATGTATATTGTAGCTGAGCATACTTTAGATTTGCTGCTATGTTTGTTGCTGATTAGGTTAGTCAGTTTATGGTTTTTTTATGATACTGCAGTCACAAGAGTAACTGCAGTGCAGGCAAATCCCAAAGGCAGCTTTAAGTTACTGATTTGAATTTTGTTTAGGTGAGTGATCTTTTGCTGGTAGACATCTGGCTGAGCAATGCTTTGTCTTAAAGTGATAAACTTGACATATTTTGCAAAGTGAAAATCTCCTTTAAGTTATGAGGCCAGTCCTGATGCTTATGCAAGAAGAATAAGTGTAGGTTAGTCCCCTCTTACCTCTTTTCCTCTGTGGTGAGGATGACCTTGCATGAAAGAATGTGATTTGAAATATTTATATATTCATAGTCTAAGCATTGTGTCCTCTATCATCTTTTTCACTCTGGAGGTGTTAAAGAACTGTACAGCTGTAGAAGCTGAGCGTATCAGAGTTGGTAATTTTAAGAAAAGGGATCCTCTCATTCCCTGCTATACCTGTATCTGTTTTTAATCCTGTCTGTGTGGAACCCATCCTCTGGGAGATGTAATACAATGCTGTTGACTGGAATCTAAGATACTCTCCTCCTCTTATTGAAATCTGCTCTGGTGGATGGAAAAAAACCCAGACAGCTGGCACAAGTCTTAAAACACACAAGCATTGCAACAACAGAGGGGACTATTTACTGGCAAGATGCACACAGCAGAAGCTCCACTGTGCAGATGAGCGGATCTTGCATCCCTGTAGGTTCAGCACTGCAGCTCTGTGGGTGGGCTTTTGTTTGCTGTGGACAAGGCTGCAATTAATCACAAGTTAGAGAATGTGTCAAGATGCTCCTGGAGGCTAGAGGTGAAACAAGAAAAGGAAAGGGGTTTTCCTACTTGAAATTGAATATAGGTGTAGGAGACATGGGTAGAGCACTAACTAACAGTGAATTAAAAGGTAGCATAGGCAGTAGAGAACAGAAGAAGGCAGGCTATCTGGGCAGTATCAATGGTGCTTTAAAGGATATATTAAGATGTGAGAAAGAGGGATTTGAATTCCTTGTAGTCCAAAATGTGAGACTGTGAATAGTCATACTCAGTTATACCTACAGCTTACAAAAGTATCCTCTTTTCTTATTAGAAAAACAGCTCAGTAATGAAGTTATAATAATGTTTATCTGGAATTTTGTTTGCATGTTGTAGTGCATAGGATGGTAAAGTAATTATGGCTTAGCTGCCTGCTCTATAGAATTAATAAGTAAATTTCATTAAACATGGAAGATGAGTTCACTGGTGCTTATCCTTGAATTGTCAACAGTCAGTTTAAATATTTTGACACTCCACAGCAGAGTTAAAATATTTGTACTGCCCTGATTAATGATTTTTGGGAGGCAGAGTGAAAACAAATTGATCAGTTACGTGTGGATGAAACAGATACACAATGACAAATTAATTGTATGTTGCATTTGGGGTTGCTTTTGCATGTAAAATAATTATTAACAATTTTTCAGTGACAAAGTTCCTATTACAGTGCACAAGTTCAAGCAGTAAATCACCCAGATGGAGCAAAAATTCAGAAGTAATTTTGTTGTGATTTAGCATGGGAAGGAGAAAGCTTACATCTGTTCCTGTTTCTGCTGCTGGTTTTCACTTTTTATTATTGTATTGTGTCAGCTTTCATGGGATGTGAATGTCTCTTATTTAAGCTGCACTTCTGGTTGGAGAATGCCTCTTACAGTGCTGGAAGACTACATGAGGTCCCTAGTTATGAGTATTTTCTATGTTTGGATGTTGAGGATGATAGTATATAAGCAAAAAAAAAAAAAAAAAAAAAAAGAAGAGCTTTTGGAAAAATGAGCTGAGACCTGAAAGTTCCAAGAAAAAAATCTGTAATTGTGTCAGAAGTTAACAAATTGTTGAAATATTACCAATGCCTCTAATTGTAAGAGGGTAATAATAAAATTAAAACAAGACAGATTGATCTTTGTCAACAGCTGGAAAATCAATAGCTCTAGACTGTCTTCACAGTAATAAAAAAGCATGATGTGGATGGCATGTTAGGAATTTTGTCTGCTTCAGATACTGTTTGTCATTCTTGATGCCTGCTAGTGATTTGATATGGAAAGGCTTTGTTTAGACAGCTGTACTAGACATTGGTACCTTACTGAGAAAGAGCTGCATGGAGAGACATCCAGCTATGTGTTTTCAATGGGTTTAGTTAGTAAAGAATGTACATAAAACTTACGGGTTCTAACGCAGCTGAAATTTCAGTGCAAGTCTTCTACTTGTAAATTGAAGTTATAGCATATCTGATGTGTGTTTGGATCAGATCCAGGCATTTGTCCTCAAATATGTCCTATGTGAAGTAAGCAGGAGATTTGTTATAGAGTTGATTTTGGAGCCTCAGGGGTAAATCACTCCTAGTCTCAGATTCACTGACTGAGCCCTTTAAAGAGCTCACCTGGGAAGAAATAGCTCTCTTTGTCTCTGTTGGTGGGATAAAAACTGGAATACACACACAGTGCTGCTAGCAGTGCTACCTACTCCATTGGTTCTACTTGTTAATCGGTGCTGATGGACATGGATGGGATGGTATCTGAATTTCCAGGTGGCATGAAAGACTGAGCTTTAACATGGGTAGCTTTTTAAAAAAAAATCATTGAAAGAGGAAGTAATGGGGGTTTTTAACTGAGTTCTTTTTGCTTTCTTCATTGCACAAATCCTTGTAGCTGCTGGGCTGGGCAGAGTTTAGTATTCATTTGGAAACACCAGTTATTACACTATTTTATAGACAGAGCATTCAGGTAGCATATTTGTAGTAGTGGTTAATTAATCTGTTAAAGAACCATAGGTAATACCTGTAAGCGTGTTTGTTGTAAAAGATAGGATTGAGTCTCAAGGGAGGAGGCAGGCTTTGGATTTGGTAGTGGTGGTGTTATTGTTGTTAGCTTGCAGGAATTAATTTGAATTCTTCAGTATGGAGTGTTAGGGCATTCATTTATGTAGTTAGCTTTAAAATAAAAACCAACTTAGTCATGGTTTGTTAGGTGAGTACTTGCAACAGAATTTTATGATCTATGTACATGGAAACATCAACCTTGTTAGATGAAAATTTACATGTTCTCTTTTTCTTGTATTATTGTAAAGAGGAAAAAGAGAACTAGCTTTCAGAGCACATCTTGATTTCAGTGTTCAGTAGGTGTTCCCTTGTGTTCAGCAGGGAACGACAGATGCAGCAGTAATTTTGTTGTGTATGTGTGTACTCAGTTCATCATGTGAGTTGTTATTTTTCTTTGGTCTTTTTGCTGTCATTATTTTGCTGCCTGTGTACAGTAGCTTCACATTAAATAAGAGGAACTAGAAGAATGTCAAGCAGATTTCATATCGATGTTGTAATTTCTTTCAATGTTCTGTGAATTCAGAGTATGTCAAAATGGCATTTGTTACTATTTGCATTAGAGAAGATAGCTGTGCTTCTGCCAGGACTGGAGTAAGTGGATTGCACAAGTGTCATGAATTTTTAATGGAACCAATCCTGCTTTTTTCTGTTTGCTATTTTTCCCCTACATCTTCTATTTGCTTTATGATTTGCCTGTTTACTGTGCTGATAGAGAAGTTCATGAAGCATTTTTTAAGCTTGTGCCTTGTCTGAGCTGGGAGACATTTCTGCTCATAGCGGATGGCTGCCCAGAGCAGCATCTGGAAGCTGTAAGTAAGGTCAACTTTGTCAGGAAATTTTGTTAGCCTGCATTGAGTTGCTGGTGATTTGCTGTCTTTAGTTCTTAGTCAGTCCCTTCGACAAAGAGTAGGTCAGTACTGACTCCATGTATGCTGCCATAGTTACTGTCATTCAAGTGAAACTGGGCGGTTTAACAATTAGGAAAACAGTCCTGCCACTGTAAGTTGTGAGCTTTTCCAGCTTTTACTAATGTAGCCAGTTTGTGGGGGAAATAAGACTGTCAGCCCAGGCTCCATCAATTTCAACATTGATAGAAAGGTAAGTGCAGTTGGAATTTTGACAGTGAAATATATGTGGCATTTTTAAACATAGGAACTTTATACCCACAACATAAAATCAAGGCTTTTTTTTCTGAAATCTACAGGGATTTTAATTTTTTTTTCCTGTGTCAGACTTGGCAATATCAGTTTCTGTGGTGAATCTACTTAGCATGGCAAAAAGAAGAGTAAGGGAGGGAAGCTTAAGGCCATATGTGATAGGGTAGCTGCTTCTCTCCTCTCCTCTCCTTCCCCTGTTTTAGTAGGTCACATTGTCAGTGTACTTGCAGCCATTTCAATCTGTAGTCTGCAGACTCTTCCGTCCTCCTGTAGCATGAGCTGGCCAGCTCATTTCCATTTGAGCATTGAGATGTAGTTTATTGCCTTGCTTACCTCTCAGTACTGATTTGGGGCAGGCCAGTGATGCCATCATGTACTGCTTATGGAGAGGGTGTAGTAGATGGGTATCTCACAGTTCTCGTTTTTGTTGGCAGTTGCACATGATGATCTCTTGTGCAAATGTCTCCTCAAGAAATCCTTACTAAAATCCAGAAAAGGGACAGCTGATGAATATTTTGCTGTCTCTGAAGCTATAAAGCACATACTATTTCTCTCAGTATATAAATACAGAATTCTAAGAAAGCAGTATAAAAGGGAATTAGTAATAAAGATGTGTCTGTTTCCAATTACAGCAGAGTATCCTCTTTTCATCTGTTCATTTCATGAAAAATACATTGTCATTGTTGAATGAGCAAAACCATGTTTCACTCCAGTACTGCCAGCTGCAAGCCAGCCTTTTTAATAAATACTCTCTCAGTTTATCAAAGTAATTGGAAATTGCTCCTTGGAGGCTGCTGAAACCATAACAAATGCAGACAGTAATCAGATTGTTTGTAATCAGAAGAGTGCAAAACAACACAAAAAACTTTAATGTAGACTCACTGGCTATTGCCAGCTTTTTCTTTTGCTTACACTGCTGACTTGAAACATAAGCAATAACCAGCTATTAAATAGCTGGCAGTGTAGTAGTAATTATGTTAGTCTACTGTATGAGCATATTCTTCTTACAAATGTCCTGTGGACTTCTGAGGATATAAGATTGCTGTTAAATGCACTCAGAGGGAGTAAAGTTGTGTTGGTTGGTCAGAACAGGGAAGATCTGGATATGGGCTGGGGTGAGAAGAGGAAATTATCATCTTCTGTAAAGCCTAAAGAAAAACAATGACAGTTCCTCCCTGCGTGCTCCCCCTTCTGCACAGGGGTGTCTCCTACTTGCCTGTTAATTGTGCTTGGACTTTGATCCCCTCTTCTTCCTTGCCACTGGTGGGTATTTGGAGCTTTGTGCCCTTCCTCTGCCTAGCAAGGGACTACTTTTCTGATCCCTGCCACAGCTTGCTGAGCATTCTCACAAGCCTTCAAAAACTTAGACCTTTTTGGGAACTGTCTAAAAGACTCTGGTCTTTGTGTACCCCTCCTGCAGATGTGTTTAGGGACGTCTTACTGTATAGCGCTGTCACTTGCATTTTCTTTTTAAGTATCTGAGCATGAAATGAATAAAAATGTAAGATAAGGTTCTTTTAATGTAACCTTTAGGAAAATACATTTATAGATTTTGTTTCTTAGTATGAGAAATAGTGTTTAGAACTTTTTGAGAAAGTAGTTCTTGATCTCTGTAGATACGGATTTTAATTAACATTTGTCATGAATGCACAGTGAGATCTTAATTACCTGGGTTTCACTAGACAAATTAAACAACTTCCTTTTGATGCTGGAGGGAAGATATATATATTGGGGGTGGTCTGAGATGTCTCATCCTTTTGTAACTGTCTTCATTTTTATTCTGTCTGAAATTCAGAATGTGTTAGCATTCAGTAAAAATGTGTGAAGACCTCAAGTTGTACCAGCTTTTTCTTATTAACTTTAATGTATATTACATCTGTATCTGAGTTGACTGTGCAGACAGAAATTGTGTAGAATTTTGATTCTATTTGTATAGAACACAGATTTTTAATGCGGACAAATATTCAGTATGCTTACTTTCTTTTAACATAAACAGCCAAATCATCCCAGAACTTTAATTGAAAGTGAATATTACTGGATAATAGTAATAACATTCTGATGGCTTGGAAAAAAACCCAGAATGAAACAAAAGTGTTTGTAGGATGAAGTTTAATTTAAATGCTGTGCTACTAAACTTTGAGGTCCCAAAACAAGCAGGGATAAGAGCAGATTTGCACTTCTTGCCACTGTAATAGAGCTGGCACCAGTCACCTTAATGTGATTATGTCTGTATTGTGAGTATTACAAAATAGCAGTCTGTGATTAAATTATTCAGCAGTTTTGTAGGTAGAGCTTTATCCTGTTTTTCCCGTCAGTAGACCTAAAGTTCTGAAGTTCAAATAACAGGAAAAAGCCTCCCTTATTTGATGACTGGAAAAAGCAAGTATTCAGTAAGCCTGAAACATCTGAACACTTCTACACACTCTCTGCTGAGCCAGAAGGTTGAACTTTGTGTGTGAGCTAAAGCCTTCTGAAAATCTTTGGTTTCAATAACTATATGGAGGTTGGATGTCATGGCTGAAGACTGCTCAAGTGGCTGTCCTTGTCCTGCTTCTTCTCTTCTTTCTCCTGCGATCCAGTTTCAGTCCATCAGCCCCACACTCTTCAAAAATCAAAATTCCCCAGAAGTCTTCTTGCCAAGCCTTAAGTCATTTGTTTGTTTCTTTTGTTTAGGTATTCCTGTCTCTCAGCAGCACTTAATTTGGAATAATATGGAACTGAAGGATGACTATTGTTTAGATGATTATAAGTAAGTATAGAATAAAATTATGTTTCTAATTAATGTTTCTAAATAATTGTTAGCATGAACAACAGAAAATGCTATAAAAATTTATTTGTTGTTATTTACAGCATTTCAGAAGGCTGCACTCTGAAGTTGGTTCTGGCTATGCGAGGTGGACCTGTTAACACCAGAAGAGGTAGGTGTTAAGGAAGTTAAAGAAAGATGGTAGTTTTCATGCAATGTCTTGTAACTGTAAAGAGCTTCTCTTAGGTAAGCATTTTAGACAATGAGACTTCGGTTCCATATTAAGTGGAAAAATACTTAACAAAAAATGGGGGGATTTTTTTCTCTGTCTTCTCTCAGCATATCAAGTGGACTTTGTTTACTCTTAAATTAAGTATATTTGTATGTATAAATTCTCAAGTCGTAAAACCAGCAATTCTTCACTTGAAGAAAAAATTATCCTGGAATGTCATTATACAAATAATTTTTAAAATATGGTCAATAAAAATCAGGCATTGCTACAATCAAATTATAAACTTGGTTAGGTGGATCATCTGTACAGGAGTGAAAATGAAGAAATTGCATTGATAATTTTCACTTGGGAAAAAACTCAGCATTGCTGTCTTCTAGGTTGGGAATTCCTATTATAAACTGAGCTGAGCTCTCAGAGGTGATCAAAAGAACAATAATAATAATAATAATAATACTTTGGTTTTATTTTGTTTTTTTATCTTTTTAGTTCCTGTGAAAGACCCTATCAGGGAAATGGCTGAATACATGGATCCTGCTAGAGACAAGATCTGGGAGAAAGGGCCGTCCAACAAACAAGTTACCTTCTTAGTGTATCGCGAAGGAGATCGCTTGAATTTCTTCCGTGTGGTTGACCGGGGCGATGGCACTTTAACACCACTGTCTGAGTCTTTGAGGTAAAGTTGGTTTTAGTCTTTGTATTATTCTTCAGAAGTGGGTTGCTGTGTAATTTTCAGCTGTATTTGTTTTATCAGAAGAGTATCTGGCATATTGAAAGAATTGTTTCCTAAGGGCTATTAAATTGTTGCAACTGTCTTAACAGCACAGTAGTGCTTTGTGGTCAGTGGTTGTGCTGATGGTTCTCTTATCACTGTGTGCATTGATATAGTGAGATAAAACTGACTCCATACTTCAGGCAATTCTCAGCATTCCAACCCTTTCTGAAAGAGAACATGTTGCAGGAGAGTCAAATCAATATTTTATTAGATATTAAAAACTTCTGTTAAGCACTTTCTCTAACATCTTAACGCATTTGTGTAGTTTAGTAAACATTTCCCTGTTCACATAATAATTTTTTTTCCTGTGGGCGTGACTTCGCTGAATGATTAGTCAGGAAAATCATAATTATCAATACAGCCAGATTTTGGATGTAATTAAGCCTCAGGTTAGCCAATGTTGAGGTACCAAGCTTGTGTCAATTAATGTCAGAATCCATTGATCTGGTGTATCACTTTACCTACTGCATTGTACTTGTAGTTAACAGTTTGGTAGTCTTTTTCCTAAAACTTATCAAAATGGATACCTATTTAAATTATTGCATTCTGTTTGTATACTGCAGCTTTTGGGTAGGTACTTTTATCCTCTCAAGAACTTAATATTTGTACAGCTGTGAGGAAAGGAGTCCCTTTTCTGGGAACTAGCTGTGTTTTCTCCAAGGCTAAGGCTCAAGCTGCTTTAAGTGACTATTCTTGTTCCTGTTTGCAAAAGGAAAGCAAGAGCTTTATACTCGGTTTATATGGTTTGTATTCAGAGTGATACTACCCTTAAAAAATTTTATAAGACATCCACACTTAAAAACCACCAACAGAAAGAAATACCAAAGCTGAATTCCCACATTGTTAAACAGAGTATAAAGAGACCTAGTGTTTGATATACAAGAAAGAGAAAGGATACAAATATTTTAGATCTGTGATTTTATCTTTCAGCCCCCGTGCTCTTTCAGTAAATAGCCACATATGGTATTATTGTAAATAGGTTTATTGTAAATAGGTTTAAAAAAACATAATTGATTAAGGCTGAGAACCTGCCTGCTGCATTGGGCTGGATACACTTCTGGAAAGATGAGCAGACTGGTGTAATTCTTGTTCTTGCTGTTACCACTTTGTTCCTATTTAACCTCTGGCTCCAGTGAACATGGAAACCCATTCACAAAGCTGGGACCATGGATGCTATACTGTGAGTTAGTGCAAGGGGTTGTCATAAGGAGCTTGAAATTTTATTTTTCAGCAGAACGGGCTCTCTGGTATCTGCCTACGTGTTCAAATTTTAGTGTGTGTTGATTTTTTTTTTCTTCCCATTTAAAACTAGTATAGACAGTGGTCTGAAAGTCTTTGTACTTTTCCATTGGGTAATCCTAATGTACACATTTACTAGTAATTTTACTGAGATTGGCGAAACGTTGCAAATGGGAGGAATAAACCACACTCGTTTGGCTCTTGCAAGGTACCCTGGGTAAGCTTTTCAAAGCACAGCAGCACATAGGAAAGTCAAATACATTGGGCTTAAGAAATGTGCTGGTGCTGGTTAGGTGAACCAGTTGGGTTGGAAGCCACCTGAGTTGAAAACATTCAATTGCAGTTGCTTCTGTTTTTCTGTGCTGTCTATAGGAGTTCACTTAGTAGCTTTTCTAGTAAGGCAGATAGTAATTTGGAGAGGAAGGAAATCCTCATTCTTGAGTTTGTTACCATGGCTGGATAAGACTGTGGGAAATGGAGAAAGTAACAAAGGGAGGAGAGAATGGAAGCAAATCAGACCTTTTTGTCTGATCTTTATAGGGTAAAGCTGTGGGTCACTGAACACCGCTGAAAACTACTAGTTTTGCATACTGACAGGTGTGTTCATATGTGTGGGTATATTGGTGACTAAGCATTTTGAAGCATGTGTTTATCATCCTTTTCCACATTGCTGATACCTGGAGCAGAATTTGACTGAAATTTAGAAATGAGACGTTGGTTTTGATCTTGGTTTTTATAGTTCTCCCAATAATTTTATTTTATTTGTGCTTGAGTTAGTGGTTAAAACTTGACAAAAGTGTGAATGCATACAGTGATCATTGTCTCTGGGTTAGAAGAGCGTTGAAACTGTGGTGGAGGACTGGCAGACAGTGGTGCCAAAAGGGTTTCAGCAAGCTAATAAATTTTGAGACCTGCATTTTACAAGAAAGAGCTCAGGAATGTTGACACCTATGGACAAAGTAAATATAAAATTTACTAATTGTAAAAAGGCCTGAAAATATCACTAATATCAAAACTCTCTGTCCAACATCTATAATCTTACTGTCACATTAAAGCAAACAAAAAATCCTTTTGTCACTCCTTTTTTTTTTTTTTTTTCTTCCCTGTGTGTGTTTTTGGCCCCTATTTGTCAGAAAATGGAAGAAAAAGATAACAATTACGATGAAAACCTTGGTAAAAATAAAATCTTGAAATTATTTTTTTAGTGTTGGATTTTTACCAGGAGAAATATGTATATGTAATATATATGCTGACTGTTCCCCTATGGAATTGCTCAGGGTTTGGTAAGAAATGTCTGGTCTATTTTGCTGACTCTTGGTTTGAATTTGCTGCTATCTTGCTCTTCACACTCCAGCTGTGCTGCCTTTGGAATTTTGTTACATTTTAGGAACTGGATTTGGAGAGTCAGTGCAAAAAATGCTGGCTCTAAAGGCAGCAGAGTATTTCTAAGAATCAGGTAAGATGCCAGCTCTAATTAGTGATATTTTCTTTTTAGTACTGACTTCCACTTGACTTTTAGTTCTTCTTGATCTCTTTTGGAAAGTAGAAACTTAAGCTAAATCTGCTAAGACATTTGTGTGAACACAGGGGAATTAGGGGAATTGCCTGATTGTCGTGATTTCTAGATGCTGACAGTGTAATGGAAGAACTAAAACACTCTTTAAAATGTCCTGCCTACAGTGTTGAAAATGCATCAGTTTGTAATGAAGTGGACAGTCCTAATGGTTCTTTCATTTCACTGTCAAATGTTGAATGTGTTACTGATCAATGCTTCATTGCTTCGTAGGAAAAACAAGTTAGATGCTGATTTTTAAAACCTTGAGATTAAGATTCTGTTAGAACGCAGAATGGAAGAAGGAAATGTCATGCTATAAACTTCCAGTGACTACTGACTTAAAATATTTTGTCTTGGGACTAGCAATTCTAATCTATTTATTTTTTTTTCCGAATGTGAGACTCTTTGGAATCTTTGGAAACCTAAACTGATCTTTTTTTTTCTTTTTTTTTTTCTTTTTTTTTTTTTTTATTTTGAAAAGGAGAAATAGAATATCACATCCACATGGGTGACCCCTCCATTTCCATTTATGGTGAGAACACCCCTCAGGATGGATAGAAATTTGGACTTTTCCTTCCATGCCAGTGTCTGGTTAATTGGAAAACTGATCAGCTTGTTGTCTGAATCACACACTTAACAGCTTTGGCCATATCTTCAGGAGACATTTGTGGAACTGGATATCCCCTCTGAGGGGAAAATATATAGTGAGTGTGAACCAACTGTATATGCTGTAACAACTTCCCAGAAGCGTGGCTGTGTGCAGATTTCAGCGACATCACTTTGCCGTAATAAGGGATGTTTATGTGGATAAATGGATTTGAAATATCTTTGCATACAGTTTTACATAATGTTTTGTCAACAGATCAACTACGGATATGACTTCCTAGTTGTGAGAATACTCTACATTGAAAATGTAATTGAATTACTTCATTAGAGGGTGAATACAAACTTTCTTTTATTTTCAGTGGTGGTTCAGTTTATAATTTATATGCTGATGATGAAGATGAGACAGAGGCATCACCTTCTGGCCAACAGATTATTGAGAATTCAATTACTATGAACAAAATGAAACTGCTCAAGGCAAAGATGGAGAACATGAATCTGAGTAAAAAGGTGAAATTGTGATTTCAGTTTTTCTGTCATAAAATGGCGTGGGCTTTCCTTGTGGTGCCTTTTCTAAAAAGCAGATCAGATACTCTGCCATATTGAGAAGTCAAGTTATCATGGGTAGATGATTTCTCAGCTATTGTTTATGTAAATACTATTGTATAAATGTTCTGGTGAGGGGCATTGGCATTCCTTGGACCTACTTGCCTTCATTCAAATAATTAATTACTAGTCCTGGATTTATTTGCAAGTGTAGAGTTTTTGGGTAGGTGGTGGGTGGGTTTTGTGGGTTTTTTTGTTTGGGTTTTTTTCTTGCAATACTTTAAATAGCATTGTTTTGCAGTACTGCTCTGGTAAAAGTCAATGTTTGTCTTAAAATGAAATTTTGTTAGGTATACTGTAACTGAAAAACCTATAAAGTGAAATATGGGAATGATATTATCTTGAAAATAAAACATTAAACTGGTGCTCATGTGTGACTAGGTTACCTAGATGTAAAATGAAGAGACTATACTTCATTACATTTTTTGTTGTGTTTGAGACCTGAAGCTCCTCTGGATAACTTTGATGGCATTCTGGCTTCCTTTTTCTGTTTCTCTGATAGATCACCTATTTATTGAAAACATTTCTTGATATAATCTTCTATTTTATCACTCAGATGTTGGGATGAAGTCTTGATTACTAGCATCATATGAGGGAGTAGAAAGAGTGATCTGGCCTTACACTGTCTGAATTCCTCAGAATATATTTTCAGTCAGGTCTTTTGAGTGCAACTGGAATTCAAATACTAATTGTTGTTGTATCTGTGATTTTTGATTTTGGTTGGGCTTTTTTTTTTTTAACAGCCTAAGAAAACTGTCAAGGTGAAGCCTCGCCCTCCCATGACCCCTCGACCATCGAGTGGCTCGGTGGCTGCTGCCCGTCACCGCTTTCTCAGAGTGCTGCCCCACATCGGACAGTCGTGCCTACCTCCTCCTGGGAATGTGCATCAGTCAGAGTCTCCCCAAAACGCACTTTCAGCATTGGCTACTTTGGCCACTGCTGGTAGAACAATGCCATCCACAGCTAATCACTTCCTGAAGGAAGACGACACTTGGCAGAGCAGCTCTTGGTCTCAGCCAGTCAATAGCATCAGGTTACCACCGAAAATATCTCGCGTTGAACTAGAAAATGCAAAGCTACCTACAAATAGTATTCTGACTCCTGTTTCATCCCTGCCTGCAAATTCAGAAAAAGCACCTGAAAATGTGACCTCAGCAAGTGAGGAGGATGCTGGTTTGTTTCCACATCTAACAAACGTGGAACTATATGGAAGAGAAGACGAACATCTACCTGAAGCAGATGCTTTTACTTTTTTAACAGAAGGCAGCACTGCTGAACAGTGTAGTGAGATATATGACATAGGAAAGGTGAACCCAGAGCTTGAACTGCCTGATGGAGACAAAGATTCTGAGGTTGTAGAGCAGCATAGAAAACCTGTTGGCAAAGTGCTGAGCACTGCAGCAATGGAGACTGGTCTTCTCAGTACTCGTGAATTAAGTCCTCAGAAAAATCTGCTTTTGTCTCCCCTCCGGTATTCAGCGCAAGTGGCACATCACAGTACTCTGAAACCACAAGCACAGCCCAGATGCTTTGAGGCTGGTAACTTGAGATCTGCGGCCTCCCCAAATGTGCTTCGATCGTTGGAAGTACGTAGTATAGCAGACTCCTCTTTTCCTAGGACCACTAGATTTTGTAGTGTGAAAGTAGAGTCACTTGGTAAAAGACCTGATGTAATTTCTAAAGCAGAGGCTAGAGACATCACAGATGTGGCTAGCAAGGTATCCAAAGAACCTGCGAGTTCTGTAAGTAGCTTAGGATTCCTGGCTTCGCTGGCCCGAAGCACAAACAGGGAAAGTTTACAGAGTTCCTGTGGGACTGACAGGTTTCGGACTTCCGGTATTGCACTGCCTACAAGCCTGCAGCATTTTCAGGAAGAAAGCTTTAGGAAAACTGCTCCTCCAAATGAAGCTGCTGAATATATTCTAGTGAGTATGCAAACATCCAAAGAAATCAAAGTTTTCCTGGTTTTGTGATACTGATGTTACAAAACTACTGTGTGTGTGTTTCTGTCTTGTCAGGAGAGGCAGATGGACTGTGGGTGGTGTATTTAAACCTCTGGTTGTCTTAAACTATTTTCTGAATGGCTGATGATATCTAAACAGCCTGTTTATCTAAACAGGTCCTAGAAGTAATTTTTCATTAAGATTAAAGTGGTTGTTCAGTTCACAACTGAAATTACGAATTATTGTAGTGATAGAGTTATGAGTGTGTGTGTTAGAAGCATCATCTGGCTTCTGCTGCTCACTAATTGTCATTTATTCCAAAGTGTGCCCAGTGACTGGCACCATATTTGCCAAGCTTCTGCTGTCTGATGTACATTGTTGTTTTGGTGGATTTTGAAGTGTGGGGAGATTGATTAAATAGCCATTGAGGGTAAGGGTTTATGTTACAGAATAGTAACTATAAAAGTGTGCAGAAGTTTCTTGGACTCTTCGTGTGTAGATTGATAAAACATTGATATCAAATAAGCTGATACCAGACTACCTACTTTTCCGTTTAATTTCCGTCTACTAGTAATTTCCTTGTGGAAATTTTTTTTTTTTTTTTTTAGTCTGCGCATGGGCTTGGAATGAATGGAAGTGTGGCAGCTGTAGGGAAAAGAGTAGGTAAGTAACATATAATAATTAAAGATGACTCTTTAATCTTTCCTGATACATCACACATAGAGAGGACAAAAATAATTTCTCTTTGTAAGGCATTTGGCTTCTGGAGTCCTTGCTGTATTACACTTCTATAGCTTGGTTAACCTTTTAATATTTTAAGCAATTCTTAAACAAGCAGATGGGATCCAGATCTTAGATGGACCATAACTGCAACTATTCCTTAGCTTTTTTAATACTTAGTGAATCCTGCACGTCATCTGTAGATCTAAATGGGAGTTACTGTGCTGAAGTTTCCAAATTGTCAGTTCTCTGAATACTTCTGAGTCTATTAAAATCAGAGCCAAATTTATCAGTAGCATTTTCTTTAGTACAAAAAAGTGGGGAGGAAGCAATAAGGGCATGAATGCTGCAGAACACAGATACAGTGCAGATATTTTACTGGTTTTTGTGCTTGTCATTCTTTCCACCCTAGTCTTGGTAACTGTGGAGTGCTTAATGTTTGACATCTACTGAAAAAAGATGTGTTATGCATAGATGTTAACTGCTTATGTGATTAATTCTACTGGGAGGAAAGGAATTGTCTAAATTAATGCTTTTAAAGCTCTTAAGACAGTGAGCTAAGAATTTTCAGTGCATTTAATTTTTCTTCTATGTATCTTTGACTTGCAGTTAGCAATTTTTCTTTTCTTTCTGTATGACCTTAGGAAGAGGTAGGTATGTATTGCAGATCCAGGTGTAGAAAATGAGCTAGACAATAGGTGTTCAAATAGCAGCTGCAACAGAAAAAATTATGTAATTGCAATGTTGGAGCAAAAGCTGTTAAGAGAGTGGGTTGTGCCATTGTTTCACAGCTGTGGGTGCAGCTTTGACTTGGCAGTCAGTCAGTAAACAGGTCTGTCCTTTGCTGCTCCAGAGGTGGTACCCTGAGAGCCTTGTCTGCATATGGGGAAGCCTGCTAACACCTGAGTCACTTTGGATAGGACTGTGAAGAAGACACTCCTCTGGTGAATCTTACACTGGACAGAAGTGTATTTTCCAAAAGATGCTGGATATGAGTTGGGGTGGTCATATCATGCAGGCTCTTGAGAGAGATGTGGTGATGATCTGTTAAAACTGGCCAAAGGACAGATCACTTTTCACTGTAGTTGCTGTAGGGATGTAAATGTGAAGACAGGTGTATTTTTTTTCCTGTTCAAGTAGATCCACAGGGCCAACAGTCTTCAAGCTCTGTCTCTTTCACAGACTGGGCTAACCGATGCCTCTGAAATTGTGTGCTTTTAGATGACTAAATCATTAGTGTGGACAAATGTTGCCTGGAACTTCGAATGCTAAATAGGAATGGGGTGGGAGTGGTTGGTAGTGATGACTGTGATGTGTAGTGACTGCCTGGTGCTACTTTTGAGTGTAGTCTGCTGCATTTCAACTAAGAAATGACTGTTGGGATTAAAAGTGTACTGGACACAAAATACTTGAGAATTCATGAGAACTTTTTGGGAGCATCCTGACAATATAGCAGTAGAAACACTGAAAGAATGTTTGAAAGGATGCATTGCTCACTTTACTGATCCAGATGTGGGAAATATGCTTAAGGAAGTTGTGGAGAAAAAACTTACTTCCACAGAGGGAAGGGAGGAGATGAAGAAAGGAGAAGCCTTTTCTTTACATGATCTCCAGTTAATAAAGCAACAGCCAAGAATTGCATGGCAAAAAGTAAACATAAAATAAATTTTTAAGTGTAGAAATTTTACAAACATCTGCAAAGTGCCTAATGTAACCATATAGCTAAGTAGAGGCCTGTAGTGTAATACTATACTTTTCTTGCACTTCTGGAGTACCAGCAAGATGTTAACATGTTGCAGTACTTACTTGGCAAACTGGTATACTGAATATATTGGATGCTAGGTACTGGAGTGCCCAGTTGATTCTTTGTAAAGCCATTGTGCACAGTGCTTTCCCAGTGACACTCCTTGTTCATTTCACACCTGGGAAGGCCATTAAGAGATGTGTTTCTTGATTTGTTCTGTAACTTCTTGCTTACGTGAACTTTTAAGGGGTGTTCAAAACAACAGTTCTGTGCATTGGGATGCCTTTTCCAGAGGTGTACATAGGCTTGAAGTGCGTTTCCTGTTTTGGCTTTCATGGTTTATTTTTCCCCTCTCCTTTTACACTTTGGGGTTCCCACCTGAAGTATCCTAAGAAATGCAAAATAAATCTGTGTTTCAAAAGATAACATTTAACTAGCTTGTGAGTAAGTTAAAATGTCTTTGCTGTCTTTCTGCTTCTGAAAGCAGGTGAAGCAACCCATCTTCCACCTGTGAATGGCTTAATTCAAGCAAAAAAGAAAATTTCAAAGCACTGCTTTCTTTGTGGCAAGAAAACTGGATTGGCAACCAGCTATGAATGCAGGTAGGCTGAGTATATAACCAGCTGTTACTTAAAATTGATAGCTGAGATAACCAAAAAGTTTTCTTTGCTGCATGGTATTCCTTAAGCATAGGAAATCAAAAGGCAACCTTCAAAAAAGTTGCAATTCCCAGTTCAGCAAAACTGCAGGAATTAGAACTTGAGAATGTTGCCCCCATTCTGCTCTTGAGGTGTATGTTCTTCCAGGAAGGTCAAGAATGAGAAGGTAACAGAATGGAAGATACCAGGAAATTAACAGATAACAAAAAACAATGACACTTTATACTGGTGGGAGAAAAAGTTTCTACAGATACATGTTCTGCAAAGTTTCTCATCCATAATGATACCTTTAACAACTTGAGGAAAAAGCAGGTTTGGTATAGTTTCTTAGAAATGTCCCTCTGATTTCTCCCTATTGCAGCATATCTTCACAGTTTGTGAATTTACACAAATTTGTGTTCAACAAATTTTTGATGTCTCTTCTGCTTTTTGCAAGACTTCAGTTACCTTTCAGCATTTAGAGCATCTCACACACAGAACACCAAAGTGCTGGTCCTCCAAATCCTTACTTCTAGACAACACTGTGAGACCTGGAGCTTGGTTGTAGTCTTGGGAAACTGTAAAAAAAAAAACCACAAAAAATCCACAGACAAAAAAAACTAACCTCCAAACAGAGAAAAACCTCAACAACAACAACAAACACAGGACAAAAGCCAGCTCTGTTAATCTTAGTTTTCAAAGTATTTTTCCCCACATAATATTGTTTCTTATGAGCTAGTCAAGGTTGGGAACTGCTGCACTGTGAGGGCTGCATTTGGGGCTGATCTTGGTTCAAGCCAACTACAGCAAAATGAAAAAGAACTTCTGCCACTGGGAATTGTATAGAGAATTTCAGGGTGAGGAATTGTCTCCTTGCTGACTCTTCAGTCTCTGATTTTGAAACAGTTTTGGACACTGCTCACTTTCCTGATGAGCAAATAGCTGCAAGCTCTTCTAAAAGTAACTAAGCAGCTTACTTAAGGTTAAAAATGAAGGGGGTGATGGCTCATTTCCAAGAATAGCATTCGTTTTGGTTTCAAAAGGAGCAACCATATAGGACCTTTTACTAGCAAGCAGGATAAACCAAATAGAGAACAATCATATGAGAAAAGTGATTATGGGGCCAAGAACCGAAGAAAAGCAAATTTATTTCGAGGCACACAAAGCCTCAGTAACAGCTGCAGATTTTATTATGAACCTAGATAGATAAATAAATAGGGGATTGTAGTGTAATAGTGAATTTTGTTGGGTAATGCTTAATCCATTTCAACAGAATTCTGATTTTGAGTGGTGTCAGTGTTTAGCTGTCAGGAAACATCTCTATCAAATAATCAGGCAACAGGACACCAGTATGGGTCTCCAGATAAAGCACTTTTCCAGATCATTAACAACACCCAAAGTATGCTTTTCTCCTGGTATGACTCTTAGCTGCAGAGCTGTCAAGTTTGAAGCAAAAATCCTGATCTTAACTCATGAAAATTGCAACGGATACTGGGTAGATGAACCCTATTGAAGTCCTCCAGGAAGTTACATTCCTTGTAGTTTGTCTGATGTCTTAACAGCTGACTAAATCTGTATTTATTAATCTTAAATAGCTCATTTGAGTTTATGCCAGGCAGAAGTTGAGCTGAAAACAGCCGTTTTGATTGTCTGAGTGATGTGGTTTTGAATTGAAATGCATTATGTGGATTTCACCTGAGAGAATTACTGTCCATGGTTTTATCGTCTGAAGCTACCAACTAATATTGTGTGAGACCCTTAAAAAAAAGAAAGAAAGTAAAACATAGCTCATCATTCTTAATTTATAAGTGTATTTGACTCCTTACTAGCTGGTTCCTGGAGTACTGATCTTCCCAGCTGAAGAAACTGTTGGGTCAAAACTAAAATATTCAGTGTGAAAAATGTCATTCTGTGTACCCCACCAGTTAATGTTATCAGTCAAGGATGGTAACAATTCAAACAGCTCTTTCATCTAAGACATGGTTAAGCAAAATGGCTACCAGCATGTCGGAGCATTAAAAGCTTCTAAAAGCTTGTAACTTGTAATATTCTTGATTCTTCAGATGTGGAAACAACTTCTGTGCAACACACCGCTATGCAGAGACTCACACTTGCACCTACGACTACAAGAGTGCAGGACGGAGGTATTTACAGGAGACCAACCCCATCATTAGTGCACCAAAGCTTCCCAAAATTTGACATGGTTGTGCTGCATGTGGCCACTCTGCTGTTGAAGAATTGTGTTGAATTGAGAGAAGCACTTGCTTAAACTGTATAATTTCGCCATGCTCCGTATTTAAAGATTTTCCAAGTAACAAAAGCACATGAGGATGCATCGAAGAATAATGTGAACACTACTGCAGTTAAAACTTTTCTTCTTGAATGAATGAAAGGTTAAAAATTAGTTTCTGAAAACTTACACTATGATTTAACTGTTACTGCACGTGTTGTGTTTTATATTTGGAAAAGCTATTTCACTAGACAAGTCTTTAAAGATGCACTTTACTAACTTTACTGTATAACCAGAGTTGAGGGGGTGTTGTAATGAGGGTGTCACGTAATGTCTTCTGTACTCTGGTTTTGTCCATTGTGTGGTATCTTCTAAGTTATTTCACTAGAAAGAACCCCCTCCCTCCCCTTTCTTCAAACAGCCTGTTTTGAAATCTTAAGGGGATAGTGTGTTCCACCCCTCTGTTTCATTCTGATTGATATTTGTACATTGTGTGTCCATTCTGAAAATTACATATCATCTTAATCACATTTTCTTAAAATAATGCTGTTTATATGACAAGTTTGTTTTTAAATAGAAGGTTCCCTGTTTGTTGCCATTAAATATAAGAAACAACTTATTTTAACTTTTTTTGTAATCCTAGATTTTTTTAAGACTTCACAACTTGCTTTGTTAAGATGTTGAATGCTGTTACTGGAAGAAATTCTAATAAATATTAAATTTTATTCTTGTTTATGCTGTCATAAATGCACAAAATAACGTCCCTCTTACAGTGTGCTCCTAAATTAAAAGCTGGGCTCTCTTGGGAGGGTGTATTTATTTTCTTATTCTTTGTTTGGTTGTTTTTTTTTTGTTTTTTTTTTGCACAAGCACTGGCTCATATCTGTTCATACCGAAGGTGATGGGAGAAATTCCAGCTTCATTAGGAATAGTGTGGCCAACACTATGTGCTTTAAATAAACCTCCTGAAGTCTTACAGGTGTACTAGCAAAGGCAGAAGGGATGCACAACAAATGGCCTGCATTAATCTTTCTCCCCTCCAGCTGATACAATACAACAGCAGTTCGGTAAATGCATGAGACACTTCTGATGTAGCCTCTGCAGAAACTGCTGTTGGAGGAATATACCTACTCAAAGACTTTCTTCTTTCATTCCCTTAATGCTTGTGAAATGTTTTTGTAAGCATAAGTTGCATGAAGTGTTCCAGTATAAAGAGATTAATAAAAATCCTAGGACAAACCACCAAAACAAAAGAAATCCTCCCACATTGTATCTAGGTAATCAAATGTCATTGTCCCTGTCTTGCCAAAGTCTTCAACTACTTAGTTGGTTGTGGTATTAAAATGATCTGTGCTGCATTCCAGTCAAAGGGTAGCAGCTTTATGAGAATGACAGCCAAAAGGTGGATGAAAAAAAGATGATCACTGAAAGAAGGAGAAGTAACTTGAGGAGTCTCATCCTTGGAGGAAATCCATTTCGTGTAGTCCACTTCAAACTTCTTAAACCTGAAGTTTTCAGAGTGATGAGCTTGGAAAAAAATGTTCACAATCATTCTTCTGGGTGTTGATAAGATAAAAATGTCATTCCATCTGTCTGACTTCTGTGCTTGTCATTACTGGAGGAAGTTCCCCTGATACGACGAGCGTGTTGTTCCTGAGCCATGCTATGTACCATGAACGGCCTGGAGTTTTTTCCATCTCCAGCATGGGGCAGTGTTTGATGCCAAAGGAAGAGAATAAGGAACGTGACAAATGCACAAGTGTTTTCACAACAATTGCACACAGCTCAGCAACATTCTAAAGACAGAGGTATTGCACTTCTTGTAGGTACAGTAGGGATTTGGTAAGAAGTGGAATTAAAATACTGTGGTCTGTGATCACTTAATCTGATTTTGCATAAGTGTAATTGTCAGGAAATTGTTTTGCAGTATATTGGAATAGCCATACTCAAATTTTAGTACAACTACATAACAGATATATGGTAGGAAGTGTCTGAGTCACATCTCAATTTTGACTCTCCTTTTCTGCATAAGTATCATGAAATGCACAAAAATGCTTTTTTAGAATATGCCATGCACTAATAATCTAATTTCCCTGTGTATAACTTCTCATAATTTTTATTTTACCTCATTTTAATTATGCTTAATACAGATAGTTCTTGTTCAGAACTCCACTGGTTTTGTTCCCGCTAAGTGTTACAGGCATTAATTTTCAACCAGTAGTACAGCCACAAGAGCACTTTAATTTGAAATTAACTGTTTCAGTTGTTAATTCAGATGCTGCTGGCTTTTACCAAGTCCTGTGTTAGTTTCTGCTATGGATTAATTACTGTTTACTGTGTAAACTTAAATAAATGGTTGGGGGTTTGAGAATTAGTGTGCCATTTTGCTGTGCATCTGCTGAACACAAATATTTAGATTTTCTGTGTTCATGTAATTAGATTACTGTATTATAAAGGGTTTACATACTGGAAGTTGAACAGTTACTTTGGTGTGTGCTCTTCTATACCTTCCTGCCAATTTTTTTTTTTGTTTGTTTGTTTCTTTAATGCTTAAAAACCTGTGAGGCAAAACTGGGCTGGTCTCTTGTTGAATGATCTCCAGGATTCTTGTGTCAAATTGATAGGCACCACAGAGGTGTCAGAAATGGTTTTGGATCTTGTATTAAATACTTCCTTTCTCTGGAATCTCTAGAAGCCCATGGTGATAAAAATCTGTCTGCTTGCAGTTTCTGTCTATTCAGTTTGCAGTCCCCTGGGATGTAATTGCAGTGATGCCTTCTGCTCACATTCTTCAGTTGTAGACAAGGCCAGAATTGTTAATTCATATTACAAAATACAAAATGAAGTTTTTCTAGGTTTTTTTGCATCCAATGAATTATACACTTTGCTTTCTTTTCAAGTACTTCCAGCTTGCATAATGGGGCACCATCTTGTGGGTGTAAATTGTGGATTTGGTATTGCTTCTGCCTGTAAGGAGTTGCTTCCACCTGCAGCTTTTGCATTGGGTCACGTTTTTCCAATCTTTATGTAAATCAGGTTCATCTTGAGATGCATTGGACATTTTTCTGGTATCTATATTAGCACTGAGCCACAGTTGCTTACATAAGAACATTATTGGAGCTGAGAACCACATCTGGAAGAGTAATCCACTCGTTCATGCATAACTTCTACACAGGGACGTTGTGGCAGATTGTGCTGGAATTCTCTTGCATTCACTGTGTGTGTGAAGCTGCAGAGATGGAACACCAGAGGGCACCAGAGGCATTTAAAGATGGCAAAAAGTTTTGGGTTTGTCCAATAACGAGATTTACCAAAAAAAAAAAAAAAAAAAAAAAAAAAAAGCGCGTGTGTAGTTCTTTATGACCCTTATTCAGCCCACTCTGAACAGATCTGAGGAGGTCAGCAATGGTGTACATTCCTTTTCCAAATTCCAAAGGTTTTAAAAAAACAGACTGAAAGAGTACCTCAAAAAAAGAGTGCCTCAAAAACTTGTTTCTATGCTGGGTTTCATGATACAATTTATTAGGTAATCTCAATGTATTGAAGACTAGACAGCCCTCCTCTCTTCCTTCCCACTAACCCCAAGGGTGGATTTCAGAGGTGTCTGTTAGCCAAACTATGTTGGATGGTATATTTAGCTATATTTACCAGATATGTCTGGTGAAAATACTGCACGTCTCCATCATTTCTTACTTTAAAAAGACAAAGTGTTGCTGCTTTTTTCTTATGGATACAGAATGAGGACATGAAGGTATAAATTCAGTGGTGTGTGAGGAATCTATGCCAGTAACTGCTCAAGTGACCACTCCTTACTGTCTTGCCTAGCCTTGCAATTCAAAAAGCTTTACAGTGGCAGAAATTTATTTCCAAACCACACTTTAAGGCTGTTTCAATCCTTTTTAATCCTATCTTCAGGAAGACTGATTACTATGTACCATATATATAGGAAGTGTATATATAGCTCTATAAGAATTATATTCAAATCGCATCTGGATGGTGAATTATTGCTGAAATTAGGTGTTTTGCCCAGCACCAGAAATTCAAAACAGTACCTAATCACAAAAACAGTATTATTTACATGGTATGTGATTGAGTGTTAATGAGGAGGAAATGAAAACACTGAAGTTTTCTAAAAGGAAAAATCAGAGGTTTCAAAATACCCTCTCTTCTTTCTCTCTGTGTAAGGGTTTTTTTTAGCAAATACATATGACTTTTTAAAAAGTGAATAATCCTTTCTCTCACCCTTCTATTCATAAACTTAATGTGCAGACAGTATTTTTTTATTTTTTTTTTACTTGAACTATTGACACTTAGATTTATTTTGCTTGAATCTTGTACTGAAGTGCTGGAACCATTGTCCATAATGGGCCTTATTTGCTAAAAGCCTGCACTGGCTGATGCAAAGCTACAACACAGATGTATAATGAAATACCTTTGGTTCTAAACGTGGTCTTGAGACTGAGAGTTGAGTGACAGGATTTCTTAGCATCTCCTGTCTTGTCAGCAATCATAGGTAGTTTGTTTTGGGGAGACATAGGACTCATCAAAATAGACTGGATTAGCCTGAAATCCATCCAGCTCCCATCTGTTTCTGGGAGTAGGAGGTAACAGGCACTTCAGAAGGTGCAAAAATTCCCTAACCAAGTATTCAGGAACAGGACACTGGATCCTATGCTAATGACTAGTCTGAATTATGACTTGCTATCTCAGTGTACAGTATGATATTAATTTGCAGGTCCATAAAGGTCTAAAACTATTTTTTAATCTTGATAGATTCATAGTTTCACTTATTTATATGTATAATGTGAAAGGAATCTTCTTTCACTGCACTTTTGAATTTCCTGCCATTTTTTAATTGAAATTCATTTGGTCTAGTGTCACGATAAAGAGAGAACCGTGTCCCCTGAATATTCAGTATGTTCTGTCTTTGAATCACATCCCCTCTTACTCATCTTTTTTCTGGTAGCAATTAACTGTCTTTACTATTACAGAGCCTTAATTATGCTTGCTGTCCTCCAAATCTCCTCTAATTTTGCATTATACGTTGTCATCTGCAGTTCTCTGATTCCCATTTTCTTGTGTGTTTAGCTATAAGCTGCTCAAGGCACTTTTACAATGGAAGCCTCTAAAATTGTGATTAATATAATACCAGGTGAAATATGCCCAGGGTTCTTCCAAGGAGGTCCCATAGAAATGCTTAGTATTATTAATCTTCCTCTAGTCTGGACAGGATGTAAACAGGATTTGTATGAGGAGGAACGCAGGAAAGCGCTGCAAGGGGAACATGTGGCTGAGTTCAGCACAATAGCTGTGCTGCTGAGGAAGATGATGTGTGGGGCTGGTTGCACAGAACCAGACTGCCTATTTTTATGCCTTCACCACATCTGCGTGTCAGTCACATGCAATCTGTTAATTGCAGCGGGGAGAGCCAGAGCTCAGTATTGGCTGCTAAGAGGTAGGCTTGGAAAATGTCATTCCTCCTCTGCATATTTGGGTATGGAATAAATTACTTTCTGTACATTCCTTAATGGTCCGCGTAACAAATGTGAAAGTGAAGGAAACTGGCCAGATCCTTTTTCCAAATTCTTGTCAGTGGAGGGGAAAGTTGGGGTTTTTTCTCTCTTTTCCAAAGCCGGGGAAGAACATGGTGAGCCCTAGACCCAGTTGCAGTACCACCTGACTTCTGGAGAAGCATTACTTGTCCCTGAGCTTCACTTTTTTTCTA